TTACAATGTTACAACAATTCATTGCATCGTGCTAAGCAAAAAAACACTTAGAGAGGATTTTTAAAAAGAAATTAAGACTTTCGGTTTATAGAGTCTTATGAAAAATAGGAGCTGAGACCGACTTTTATTCCTTCGGTAATTGTAAAACCTGTGTATAATCAATGATCCTTTCTGAGGATGTTACAATCACCAATAGAGATAAAATGACATCTTCCTTCGAAATAAAACCCATTTCTTAGTAAATATTTCACGATGCAGCTCAATGGTGTTCAATAAAGTCGCCTTTTTGGGGAACATCCAGAGCTGGTGAATCAGTCTGATGAAGGTTCCTCTCTTGCCACTAAATAACAAGGTGCAAGACTCCATACGTTATTCCACAACTCAACGTTTAGGTAATAGCGCCCTTGAAGAGATGGAAGGGAGGGATGGGGATAAAGAGAGCTACAGCCTCATCTTCTGCATTCCCGTAATAATTTTTCTCCAGCTGACAACTATCACCCTATCCTGGTACTAGATCATCACATGGCAGGCTGACATACGGTTTCGTCATTTAGGGAAACAAAATACGGAGGTGGAGATGGCTATTGGCGGGTTCAGTTATTTTTACATCTATAAATCTTTACAAAATTGAGATACAGTGAAGCTATTTAGTCCATTGTGGAAGTATTACTTCGATGAATAGGTAAATTATCTGGAAGACAACAAGTGTTACTTTGACTACTTTTATTAACACTTTAGGGCGATTAAGGAGAAATTTAAATCACCACAAAAGCGGAGTCCACATTTCATAGCTTTAGGCCTATTAATACGAAGTGACATTTACTTCTAGCATGTATTAATATCTATCGTACTTTATTGTCATCATCTGTTTAAAATTAGCAGGGGATGGGAAGTTGAAAAAGTATTTGAAACTCTCATCGTTTGCAATGAAGCGTTACTTCTCCAAGCGGTTGCACTAACAAAACCGTCACGTACCGCGGCAGCATAACGACAATCCTTGTCATTAAACGTTCGTCCCACTCCGGATGGTGTTAAATTTGGACATTCATCTACTTCTTCATCGCTTCTGTGACCGGTTTCCGCCGTATTTGGAGGTTGCTTTGGGGGTAGCACATTCCTTTTGAGCCCTCTGTGACGATACACTGTCTGCGTTAGCACCTTTCCATCAAATCGTTGTAAATCATGTGGATCAATCTCATGGTTTATCAGCGCAGAGGAATCAATGCAGACTTGTTCGGTAGCCTTTAAGGTTGACGGTAAAAGATTTCAGCTACCGAGGTCAGTACACATCTACGTCTATTAATCGCGATCGGTGGTAGTTACGCCTAAATGTATCCTAGACTTAAAATTTATGATTTAATATACGATAATGAAGCATACTGAATCAAGCTGCTAACCTCCATGATATCTCGGTAATACCGGAAGAAGTATGGAGGTAACTTCTTCATGGGAAACCCAAGTTCGATTCCTTTCAACTTCTCCCTTTTCGGAATCCAGGTAAGAAAATTCGGATCTACACAATCCACTGGGGTAACCTCATGCTCCTTATTGACTGGTACGTATATGAAAAGGTAGTAGAGATCCCTCTGACCAATCTGAACACAGTCCAGGTAAGTAATAACGTGTTCAGGATACGGAAGATCGGAATGGGGAGCACACGACATCATGACATTTGAATCTTCATGCGTTTCTGGTGACCTAGTAGCAGTTGCATTATCAAACATTGTAAAAAGATTCTCCATAGAAGGTGTTCTATGAGTTGTGGTGAGAGAATGGGTTGGATGTGGTCGTGATCGTCGTCGAATTGTAAATTCTCTTTTGGAATCTTTCTTTTCCGTCATCTGTCGCATAATAAAGCAGCTAATTTTAGGGCAGAAGCGACATATAGGCGTGTTTCCTATGGGTCCGTAAGGTAGGGAATATTTCCTATCGCTACTGTATTGATTTATGGCTTTCTCTGTCGATGCCGACTGGACTTCTGCTGGCCAGTAACCTCGAGGGCAAATATCTGCCCACACAGTGGTCAAAAAAATCAAAAGTGATAGAGAAGGGAGCAGTGTTCCAGGCTTCATCCTCTAGACCGGTAGATAAACATACAGTCTTGCACTTTGCCCCTAGCTGATTGAAAATGTACGTTCAGATAAGGTGGAATGTGTGTACGGCGATCGTTAAGTTCCCCAATGACCTTGGCAATCAGCCAATCATTAACCCCGTGCCAATGGGCAAATGTTTTGCGACCATTTTGCGTCTTCGATTAGTGGCACGGTATACTACTAATTTTTTCAAAATTTTTTGTCATATTCTCTGCGAACAGGTAGAATTTAACGGTTTGATAGGTTTAATTAAAATCGAGTAAAGTCAATCACTCTTCATCTCGGTATATCGTTTTCTTACAGTTTTCACATCCTTCCGTAAGCTTTGCAAGAACTACCCTTAGATCCTGCATCCTATTCATGGAAGAATTAACTATGCCTAGATATGCATACATATGAATTTAACCCAACCAGTTTGAAACACTGGTTTTATATGCAAGAAGAAAAAGAGCTTTGGGACTATTACATCTTTTCTGATGAAGTAAAGACTACTATTGCTTCTGTATTCTTGTTGGAATGTGCGCAAGCGGGCCGAACGGTAGCACGTGCGCACAATAGTATACATAGTTATCACCCTAGGATCAGGCAATCCATCTCAGCACTAACTGCCCTAAATTCCGTTCTACTCTTCCTTCCCAACAGGCTTTTCCATGTCTATTTGGCATGTGATTGTTTAATGTGGAGAGAAGGTGATGTTAATTACCTGCAAAAATTAATATTAGGCGAGTGCGGAGGATGAGACCATGCCCCTCTCTTCCTCTTATGCACTCAAATCAACTCATTTGCATTATGAATAATAGTTTGCTGTTCAAGCAAATTATTTACTACACAGGTGATGTTGAATCTTCATCATGTTCCGTGAAAAATTCGGTTTCCTCAGCATTCTTTCTCTTTTTTATCTTATCGTAAATCGCCTCCGCGGTTGCAGTCAAAAATAAAATTGATAACGCTCCGCTTCCAGACCGACACCGATCCCTAGCAAAAAAGTTAAGATAGGCGTCACCTTTTAATCATTTATGATCGTGGGTTTTAATCCATTGGAAATGCTTTAAAGTCGCATGTCTTTTGCCAGTACATTTAATCACGTTAATTAACCAGTGAATAAATTAAGGGTAGATTTAAATGAGATGTTCTTCTCGGGCATATGACTCGACAGAACTTCTTCCTTAGTCTTTACAGTACGTTTACTTAAATTTCTTAACCATATCTGTGAAATACCTGAAATAAATTTTAGCTCTTTTAAAGCACTAAACTGAGAAGCAACTCTACAAATCAGCCTACTATCACAAGAGAGAAATGCTTGTTCAGTTAACGTCGAAAAAAGGATTACTTTCTAGGTTGTATTTATTGAAATAAGCTTATGT